ACCGGAAGCACTTTTTCATCAAAAAAAGATGGCGCCCAGCAAGCCAGCGGCCCGGTAGGACTTGTTCCACGGACCGGTACCGGTCCGTGGACCGGTGGTTGGGGCCCCCTGCTGTACAGTATCTCTCTTTGAAAAATTTACAAATAAAATTACTCACAAATGAAGGCCCAGGTGTATCCCAGGTTAAGGTTGGTCACTAGAGGTTTTGACTTCCGAGCTTTCAAACTTTCAGAGGCTGAAGCCCATCTTCAGGCACTTCTGTAGGAAGTTAGCACCCAGCCCCTCCTAGAGAAATGAAATATCCTAGGAAATATTAAAAAGGCAGAATGTTTCCCCTAAAAAGAGTAGAAACTCAGAAGCAGAAACTCACCTCAGAAGCAGAAGCTCACCTCCCCACCTTTGTTAATGGGTGGCCCATTAAGGCCTGGGTCAGAATATTTTACATAACAAAGAACTCCAGGCAGAGTTATAGGAATTGCCCAAAGCCCTTTTCATAACATCATCATCCAGCAAGGCTCAACCAAGCCTGGGACCCAGGACAGCCTACAGAGTTGCCTCTGCATGGCCCCATGGGAGTCTGACAGCCAATCAGAATACAAGCTGAAATTCAAATGCCAACAGAGGATATAAAACCCAGGCACACCCAGCATATCAGCCAGTGGTGGGATTCAACCGGTGTTACTACCAGTTTGGTGCCTACGTTTTGCATTTTAGGTTCATATATATCCGTCATACGGATATATTTGATATGGCACGTGTGCCACAAGTGGCGTGCAGAGCCATTTGTGCTGGCACGTGAGCCGCAGGCAAACTTACCTCACTGCGCATGCGCACGTCTCACAGTTGATTTTTTCGGTCGGTTTGAGGCCTTTTTCGGCCTCCCAGAAGCTTGGAAAAAGGCTCTGCAAGGCTTTTCAGGCTGAATTACAGGCCCATCTCGTCACTTCCTGTAATACTGCCAGTGACAAAACGGCCCTATAATTTGGCCTGAAAAGCCTTGCAGAGCCTTTTTCCAAGCCTCTGGGAGGTTGAAAAAGGCCTCAAACCAGCTGAAAAATCAGAGCTTAGTGTTAGTAACTGTGCTTAGTGTTAGTAACTGTGTTACTATCTTAACAACTGTAGTAATTCACTTAACTGTGGCAAGAAAGGTCATAAAATGGGCAAAACTCACTAAACAAATGTTTCACTTTTGTTTAGGTTCAATTGTGGTCGTAACCAGTGGTGGGATTCAGCCAGTTTGTACCAATTTGGGAGAACTGGTTGTTAACTTTCTGAGCAGTTTGGTGAACTGATTGTTGGAAGAAATCATTAGGGCAGAGAACTGGTTGTTAAATTATTTGAATCCCTCTCAAGGACTTACTTGCATAAACATTCTCACTAATCTCACAGTTACAGACAAGATGATATTAGTTAATGAACGGATTTCCCCCCCCCCCCCGCCTTTTTAATAAATGTTGTTTGCCGTATTTTGCGTTTTCTTTGTTAACCCCAATGGATGGAATAAGGTTACTTTAAAAGATGCTTTGAATTTGGACAGATATAGCCTCTTCATTATGTTCTTTTTTCTCATGCACCAGCACTGAGATTGCCCAAAGTTAGTTTCCTTTAGGTCCCATGTAATCAGTGGGTTATTTAAAAAAAAAACAACTCACTAATTTCCAGGATTATAGCTACATAAGGAAAGAAGTTGTGATAATGATCTAGAATTAGTTATAGTCATTGTAACTCCTCACCCCAAGAGCTCAGCTGAGGCTTGGGCAGGCAATTTACTGACCACCTATCTATCTATCCTTAGGTTATGGGCTGTACAAGAAAGCTTAGCTAGATTTGACCTGTGAACTTCTTTGCTTTCCAAGGATTGTACATACATCATAGCCAGGGGGCCCAACCCTGAGACTGTAACCCTCTACTGGGCCTTGATCCTTTTGGAACCTGGCCATGGTGGGTGAGTGCGCGTGCGCACATCCCCATTTGGGCAAGTGCATGTGCACCGCTCCATTTGTGTGAGCAGCACGCAAATGGAGCTGCGCACATGTGCAGAACCATCCCCTCTCCTCCCTCCCACAGATATGCAAAGCCAAAACGCTTGGGGAACTGTGTCATAGCAGATCCATACACAACGTTTTATTGTGGCAAATATAGTACCTTCCTCAATAACAGGCCAATGCCTGTTATCTCTACACTCCTAGACTTTGCAAGTTGATGTAGCCACATAATAAAGGCATCTTTAAATACTTACTCCTTAAAATAATTAAACATTACCAACATAGTTCTCTTCACTTATATTGCATTATAGTTCTCATAGTATTAGCTGGTGACAGGTATAGCCTACTCACCTGAAGGGTGGCATATTAGTGCCCTTCATTTCTAAGATATCATTAATGATACGTTGTGCATTATAAAGATTTCAGGAGCATTTAGTCATACCCATTCTTAACTGTCAGGGTATGCATAGAATGCAAATCATAAAGAAATATGCTACAAATGATAGAAAATTTAATTTAAAATTTTGACTGAAATAATGGTTCGAATCAAATATCTCTCCTTCAGTTGAAACAAGATTACTTATTTTTTAAAGTTTGATAAATTTGTTACAGGCCTGGTTATTATTCTAATACTGCTCTAAGTAGCAGGAAGTCTTTTTTATATGTTGTGTTCATAAAATGACAAATTCTGCAGGAGTTTGATTGTTTATATTTTTTCTTTCCAAGAGAATATATTACAGGGTAGCATAAAAATGTGTCAGTTTTGAACTATGTGAACTTGTAAAATGAACTTGTAAAATGAAAACCCAATTAACTAGTTTGTTTTTCTTCATTTTTCCCTAATGTATGCTTATGAACTGAAATTTTTTTGGACTTAATTGTAAGTGTAACATTGCAAGTGTAACATTGCAAAATTTGACCTAGTTCTTTTTTTCAGTGAACCAGCATAATGAACGTTCCAGATCTAATATATTGACTATAAATAAATGGCTATGAATGTGAAATCATGAAAAGTGAATTCCGAAACCATAGTTTTAAATAGAGTTTTAAAAGTGATCTTGATAGAAGAGGTTGCTGTGTTTTTGTAGTTGTAGGTTGCCACCTAACCTGAGAGAAAAAAATGAAGAAAATGAATGTACCATAATATAAGCACAATTTTTCAAGAGCATGGTGATGTGGTATTAATGTGGTTTTTCCTTCAATGAAATTGAAATTATGGTGATTTGAATGGTTGGTTTAGCTGTCTCTCAACTGGCCCACCTAACTGATCATTTGATACCCGTGATATTTGCTATTGATATTTCTGAAAGGAGATGTAGTCCTTTTTAAAAAAAATAATATGAAACCTGTGTGAAAAGAGTACTACAGCTGACACACAATTTTTGCACATGATTTAGCACTTAAAAAAAACACACACCACACAATTCCCATCTTCAGAAATAGGCCAACAGGCAGGTCCTAGTTGTGAGGAAGGTATAAAGGAGCATAAGGAATACTTTCCTCTTCTCTTACAGATCATCCTGCATTTCTCTACATCTGGGATGTGTGGCTTGAACTATGGTATGGAGAGGTGGGCTGAATAGAGCTGGAAAGAATTATTGATAACAAACGCCTCAACCACGTGCTGCAAATGGTAATACAGATACTAAGTAGTGGTGACTCACACCATATACATGTAGAATGTGGCAAAGGCAAAGTACACTCTCTCCTCCTAGTTGAAACTGGTTGTGTAACACCACTTGTATCAGAAGCAATGGAAAGCCTATAAGGTATGCATAGATGATACAGGCAGGTTCTGACTGTCTTTTACACTTTAAACCCAACTTGTGCAACAAAAGATTGGGGTTTTCTAAGTTTTCTAATGGTCTAGCATTTTCAAAAGAATACTAAGCCTGTGTTTATAAGGATCTCATGTAAGACCTGGTAAAGTTTATGGAAAGCACAAAATTAGCCTTTATGTATAGGCAGTTGTTCTGCAGAAGTCAGTTTAGGTTGTGGGGTTGTTGTTGTTTTTTTTGCAGCAAGATACAATAGTCATGATGTGCAATGCCCAGCTACCAGCAGGCAGATAAATACCCACACTGTTTTAAACAATCCACCCATCATGAACCATATTGTTGATGAAGTGCCTTAGAGATCATGTCACACCAAAATTTCTGTGAGGAGAACAGGAAAAGCATTCCTTTTAAACTAACATAGCTAAAGACAAATTTAAGGTGTAGACTAGGGTTGAGTTGGAAGAGGTGTTATACAAGAAATGTTATAAAAAAAGGTTACTGGATATATTCATGCAGTAGTTAGGAGGACATTCAGTAAGTGTTAGTCCTCAGTCAAGAGAATTTAGAATAATATGACAAGATTTCACAAGCTTTATAGGTAGTCATTGTCTATGGGAATCAACATAAAGAATTAAATAATTTCTATTTTAAGACCATAAAATATTTTATTACAAATAATTATTTAGAAAATTTATCAAAATAAAATACAGTATATAGCAATGCAAGTATTATCTTTCCACTGTTTATCATTGATCATTTCCCTTTTTATTCTCCTTATGAGACATTTGGAATCATGAATTGTAATATTTCTATATGTTATCATATATATCAGGGCATTCTGTTTATATATATCATTTGCATTTTAAAATTTAAACCTGCATTTACTAACTTAAATATATTCAGCATGAAATTATGCATGTAACTTCCCAAAAAAGGAACACATAGTTTGTATATAAACTGAACCATTTAAATTGAAATTTAAAAAGCAACAGTTGAATGACATAGCAATACTATGCTTATAAATGTTTTTAAACCATATTATGAACAGATTGGAGAAAGAAGAGCTTGATCAGTAGCTTGATGCAAATGAATCTGGAGACGAAATTATGTTCAGCAGCAGTATAATTGTTATAAACACTGAAAATTATCTTCATACTGAACATAATTTCATCTGCACAGCAAGAAAAGTCACATTGCAAAAATCACCTTTGCTTTGGATTCAAGGCAAAATATTGGCTTATGAAAAGGCCCTAAAATAGTCTTTCAAAGGAACAAAAAACTCTCTAATCAGTGTAGCTGGACGTTGAGAGAAAATTCTAGATCTGCAAATGTTCTCTGCCAAGAGAGATAAATCCATGTTCAACGCTGAAGCAGAGTATTTGCTAGAAAGGAATTAGAAAATGTTTATGTAACAAAAACAGTCAGGCAAGCAAGCACACAAAAAAATCTACACTTCTCAATGGGCTGTTCAGCATTTCACTTACTTAATTTACTTATTTCAACTTAACATAAAGGATTATCCTGTTTCCTACTTGGGCCATTTTACCTTTGGCGATCTTACAAGGCCTCATTGTGCAAAATAGCATGTAGTTCTACATTTAAAGATGCTGGCGGCAAGTTCATGACAAAATAATGTGTGTGGACACGAATATGATGGATAGATTTTTTCTTTCTTTCTTCCATGTTCCTGTTTGGTTTTGCATGTGTTAAAAGGACAGAAGTTCTCTGGCTAAAAGGTGGCTTTCCAACGTACTGTACAAAAGGAAATTCTTTCTCCTTTATCCCTTGTATTCCTGAATAAATTACAGGTAGTCCTCAACTTACGATTACAATTGAGTCCAAAATTTCTGTTGCTAAGTGAGTTATTTGTTAAGTGAGTTTTGCTCCATTTTACAACCTTTCTTTCCACGGTTGTTAAGGAATCACTGCAGTTGTTAAGTTAGTAACATGTTTGTAAAGTGAATCTGGCTTCCCCATTGACTTGGCTTGTCAAAGGGTCACAGAACATGATCACATAAACTCAGGACACTGCAAATGTCATAAATCAGTTGCCAAGCACTCCAAAGTTTGATCACAATGCTGCAACTGTTGTAAATGTGAAAAACAACCATAAGTCACTTTTCAGTGCTGTTGTAACCTTTAACATCCCTAAACAAACTCTTATAAGGACTACCTGTACACCCTTATACATATGGTTTCTATTTTATATATATATGGTATGCAGCTTTGTTTGGGTATTTTCCCACGTCATTATAGTTGTGCTTTTAAAGTTGTAGCAACGTTTCGGCAGAATCTCATCAGAAGCCTGATGATGGCAGATGAGATTCTGCCGAAACGTTGCTACAACTTTAAAAAAAGCACAACTATAATGACGTGGGAAAATACCTGAACAAAGCTGCATACCATACATGTAAGTACCCGCAAAAACTTAAGAAAACAAATATACACACACACACACACGCAGGTCTTGGCGTGTTCAGGTCTTTTCCTG